TTCGATCATTACAGAGAAGGCTGATGTTTATAGCTTTGGTGTGGTGATTGTAGAAATTATGAGTGGAAGAAAGAATTTGGATCCATCTCAGTCTGAAGAAGCTGTTCAGTTAATTGCTCAATTACATGAATTGAAGGCTGATTTATTGCCTGGATTGTTTAAGGGAAGCAATGGGGATATAGAGTTGCATGGTGAAGAAGAGATGAAGAAGATGATGAGAGTTGCAGTGTGGTGTTTGCAGAGTGATAGTAAAAGAAGGCCAAAAATGTCCACGGTTGTAAAGATTTTGGAGGGCACTGTAAATTTGGAATCTGATATGGATTATGATTTCTTTAGATTTTATGCCGATATGGTGGAAGGTGCACTTCTGTCGGCTTCTTAGCTTCCTTCATTTTTTAATGGTTTAGTTTGAATGATTCTATTTTGTGCTAGATGCTTTTAATGAATTTATAAGCCAATAAGAATTTCATGTATTTTCTTTCTTGTATTGCTTTTTTTGTTTATTTGTTGTGGATCATTTTTTTTTTTGCTGTTTTTATATTATTTATATTTTGATTGTAAATAAATTATATTTGATATTGCTAAAAATATTTTTATAGGGATATTGAATAAATTAATTTAAGTGGTGATGATGATGATGGTCAGTAGAGAAATAATATTGTTGATGATATTTAGGGAAACAAGTAGATGTATTGCTATGTGAAAACAATGCAAAAGTGTAGAAAATTCACACAACAATAATCAAACACAAAGATTTACTTGGTTTGTTGTTTAATGGATTTGTCTAAGTCCACGGGGAGAGAGACTCCACTTGTATCAGATGGAGAGAGACAAAAACAACTTGGGGATACAACTCAACACTTCTCAACATCATATAATCTCTTTCACATGAGTTTTATATCCTTTACATAGAAGAGGATTATGCATACAAAGAAATAAATCAATTAAAATAAAATCCATTAAATACAACAATCTCCAACTAGCTCCAACTCCAAATCAGCTGCATCAAGATGGTTCATTCGTACCCCCCTCCGGAAGAGAGTTATTCAAAATGTCTGACCGGGCAATCAGTCCTACGCTCGAGTGTTCACCTAAATCTTGCAATAGGTGAAATTTTGGACTGGTAGTACATTCATGAGTATGTCCACTAGATTTTTCTTTGTATTTATGTTCTTCAACAGAACTTTGCTTTCTTCAATCAAATCTTGAACGGATTGGTACCTCAAATCAATGTGTTTGATACGAGCATGATGAGTTTGATTTTTCGCCAAGAATATTACACTCTGACTATCACAGAACACCCTCAGAGACTCCTGATCAACTCTCAAGTCATCTAATAGACCCTACATCTATATTACATCTTTCATCGCCTCCGCAAGTGCAGTATACTAAGCCTCAATAGTAGATAAAATAATTGTAGAATCAAGAAATGACCTCCAACTGAGTGGACCTCCCGCCAATGTGAATAAATAGCCCGTCATAGATCTCCGTCTATACATATCACCTACATAACTGAGTCAATGTAGTATGTACACAAATCTGCAAAAGATAACTGCATCTTAAATATCAAGTCAACATCAAATGGACCCTTCAGATACCTCAGAATATTTCTGCAATGTTTCTTCGACTCGATGATGTATCTCACCATACATTTACCCCACGAGGCATTAACTAGAGGTCCTGTACAGTACCGTTGGATGTATCCATTTGAGAGATAATTACATTGGAATTAGATAGTCAATTACTCATTTATAAAGAACACTGGTAATTTGTACTGAGCAACATTTATTTTTTAGATTTTTGAATAAATCAAAGATAACTATGAAGAATAAGACCTGACTAAAATGATCAACATGTGAAGCATATTTACTGTAAGAGACAACAACATTTCACTTCTACTAATTTGTGGAAGAAGAGTACACGAAAGAGTCATTAGATTTGACACCACCATCGACCCTTTTTTTGATTATGTGTTTGAAGAAGAGATCACGACTACATCCTCCAGTCACTCTTCAGATGATGTCGAGTAAGATGAGTAAGTTTATTGTGCCTTTTGTTGAATATCATATTTTAATTTATTGCATATTTTTGTGTTTTTGGTTTTAGTAGTTGTTTCTTACAACAATTTTGTTTATCTGTCTGTCGCATATTTATGTGTTATATGTTTTTTACTTATTATTCAGTTTTTATTTTATTAATAATCATGTGTTATGTGACCGACCTTTTTTGTAAGTCAACAATTATAAGAATTTGATGACGTAACTAGAAGATTTAAATTCCAGCAACAATGCCAAAAACTTGACTGCGACTTTATATATATATGTTTGATTTAATAAAGATGTATAAATATAATATTCAATAATGTTAAAGTCGAATTGTCAACGCAAGTATACGTATCACTCAAGTAATATAGGGCTCTAATGTAGTCCTAGATATCGATCCCAGAGGGAGAAATAAAATACTACAGACTAAGATTTAATAAAAAGTAATACTTCAACTACAACGACGTTCAAGTTGCTTATCTGTCACTAATAGGTAATTGAAATAAGTAGATAATTTGGATAATAACTAATTATAGGGAATAACGTTTAGATGTGATATTCAATATATAAGAAAACATCTTTCTCCTTGCCAAGAAATCATAGTGAATGGATAAAATGAATTAGTTCAATTTATATTGTGTCAAATAGGAGCATACCTATTCTTTACCCTTTGGTCCAGACATAAAGAACATTGACTAATCCTATGCTTGGTACTGATTCTGCGGCTAAGCTGGGGGGGTAACC